TCTGTGGGTTTTTGAGGTGCCTCCCCGTTTCAGAGTTATCACTATGTACTGGGACATCATGGCAAAATTTTTTCAAACACACGTTATAGGAAATGTATAATGCCCATTTACTTTTCAGAAGTATTTCTAATGATGAATTATTAATTTCAACTTTATGAGTTTATATTAAACAATGTATACTTAATGGAAATATAAAATATCAATAAAATATATTAAAATGTAATATGTAATTTTTAGAATAAATATCAACATTTTCAACCTCAAATGTTTACCTGCTTACAAGATCTAACAAATAACAAGAGAAATAATTCTTATGTAAATTACAATGAAAATTGAAACAAAACTCTATTAGAGGAATAATTTTGGCTTCAATCATCACATTTAAAGTAGTGTTCACACATGGCAATAGTATGTTCCATACACAAGTCTTCCTTACCCTGAGCACATGTGTGCTGAGCTTTCCTTCCCTGCTTAGCAAGCCATGCTTTTCTCTTTTTTTTAATAATTGTATTGAGAAACAAATAGAAATGAGACAGTTTCAAAACCGATTAGTAGGACAGTTTCAATAATTAATACATTGCATATTGTTGTCTTCTTAGTGGTTACTCATAATATAAGATGCAGACATGATATCCTGTGCACAAATATCAAGCCAGACATTTCAACCCTCTTGCCTTTCTCTTTTGTCAGAAGCTTCTTATTATAAAATGTGCACTTACCAGGAAAAAGATACTTCAATAAAAAAAATATGATCATTTCTGGCTTCATTTATGTTTGAGCATTCACTATCAATTTTTTATTTGTTTGAGACAAATTCATGCTATGTAGCTCAAGCCAGTCAAAATCACTCTGTATCACAGCCTGACCCTCCACTCACAGTATCCTCCTGCCTCAGTCAGCGTGCTGGGATTACAGGAAAGCATCACCATGCCCAGCTTCACTATCAATATTATCATCATTGTATAATGTTAAAATTATTACTACTATTTTGCTTTGTGTCATCATCTAAGAAGCCAATGTTGTCTTTCTGGAATCCAAAGATCATACTTTACATTTCTCTATTGTGAACATGCAACATATTTTGGAAATTAATGCATATAAGATATTTTACATGTAATTCATTTTTAGTATATTACAAAGCATTTTGTAGCATACTACCCATAAATGATTTACCAATATTGAATCACAGTGTTGGAATGTCCATCCCTGGCAAGCACCTAATAATATTTCCAGATTTAGTTGTAATTTTAGATGATGCAGATATACATGACCATTTTGTAGCATTTTGACAACTCAAATATTTATTTACATTATTGTTTTCTTCCTCATGTGAATCAAAGTCTTTATTCTGTTCTTTTATTTCATATCTTGCTAACTTTTTTGCTTTACATGAACTGAATCATCCTGGGTGGCCAAATCACCTGATGACTAACATTCAATCTCCTTTCAAAGTTGTATAAGTGGGTCTTCAATCAGTATCATATTGAATTAGGTAATTCAATGATAAAAAGAACATTTAATAAAATTTATAAATACACAAGAGTATACCACTGTGCATAACATGAATAAACATGTTTACATTTCAACATATGTGCTTCTCATTGCTCTTTATCATACCAAGTGGTTCAACAAAAAGATTCCTTTCTGTGTTCCCTCAGCACAGTTACTGAGAAACACAGCCAACTATCACTACACTGAAGTACATATTTTCATTAGATATTTGTAGTAGGAGTGTTTCTTAACTCCTCATGATTCCCTTAGGCATCCATCTGTACATAGAATGTGGCAACCCTCCAGCCTGAGCCTTCTCTTAAATCATGTCAGTAAATAGATAAAGCAAACAAACCATTAAATTTTGTGTTGATGTAGTTAACAGCCTGGATGGGGGAGGAGTCATGCAGGTCACTGGCCTTTATGCCAGCACTTTCAGACCCAGGCTTTCTGGAAACTACACTTAGCCAGTGTGGCTTCTCATCACCACATGCAGGTATCCTGCATTCTTCCAGAATGGAGCCTAAAAACACAAGGGCCTATGCCTAGTCTATATACTCTCTACTTTCCTAAAATGGTTTCTGATTAAACCGTCTCAATCACTGCAATCATTTCACTGTATTTCTTCTTCAACTCTACCTTGTTTTATTTACTTTTTTTTTAATGTTTTTGGTACAGAGTCTCTCTATGCAGCTCAGACTTGCAGTGACTGTCCTGTTTTCAGCCTCCCCAGCACTGGGATTACAGCATGTGCCACCAATGCCCAGTCTCCATGGCCGGCTCAACATGCCCAGGGACGGGGTCATCACAGCATGTGGAGCCAGGGATCAAACCTCTTACCTAATCAGGCTCTTCATCTGCTGAGCTATCTTGATGGCCCTTCTATCTCAATTTTTATTTTTCTTTATTTTATTTTTTTTTTTTTGCTCCGAATGCCTTCAGGGCAGTTTTGGCTGGCTGGAGTTATGGGGATCGAACCACAGCAACCTGAGCCTGACTGCTTTGTTGAAGCAGCCACTTAAAGAGCTGAGCTAAGGGGCAGGCCCCCTATCTCAATTTTTAAAGAAGTCACTTTCAGAGAAAAATATACTGATTTTGCAGTTAATAATAGCTGTGAGATTGTTTTCAGTCTAGTGCTGTCATCCCAGTCTGTCATTTCACCCTGTAGGTGCTGTCCCTGATATCATGTGGTAGATCTAACAGATAAATTCAGAGCTAAGTAGTCTATCTATTAAATATTAAAATTATGTACATGTTATCACTAGATGAATTTAGTCACCAAATTATTTTTTTTAATTTAATTTAATTTTGGAGAATAAAAACAAACATCAGATACAAAGGCAGAAATAGGACAACACAAAGCAATACATATGTTACAGATTTTCAAAACAAAAATAGCAAATTAACAATGTTAGCTATACTATCTACTTTTATCATCAAATCTGTTGTTCAGATTAACAAATTTTATGCAAGATTGGCCAAATAATTTATTATTAGTGCTTACTTTCAAGAAACCTTAATTTTTTAGGGCTGTCCAGATGTCTCAGCAAAAGAAATAGACTGATAGAATGGATCAATAAACAAGATTCAATAATGCTGTGCATGCAAGAAACACATTGAACACAAAACAAAATTCACATGCTGAAAGTAAAAAGATCAAAAGCAATACTCCATAGGAGAGGATACTGGACCAAAGCAAGTGTAGCATTTCTATTTGAAGAAAAATTGTATTGAAAGCCAAGATTGATTACAAAAGACAAAGGAAGTCTTTATGTACTTTTAAAGCTAATGATATAAGAGAAAGATTTAACAGTCTTAAATATGTATGCACCAAATACTTGTGCACACAACTATATAAAACAAATACTATTAGACACCAAAAATCTAACAAGCACTAATACAATTTTAATGTAAGGGCTGGTCAAATAGTTCAGTGGATTAAAGCACCTGTAAGCAGGCGCATGGGCCATGGGTTTGATCCCTAGGCCTACCATGCCTGCCCTGCTCCCAAGGCATGCTGAGATGGCAATTGAGACTGGGCATGCTGGTGCATGCCTGCAATCCCAACTCTTGGGAGTCTGTAAACCGGCAGATCTCTACAAATCCGATCTAGTAGTAAGACCTTGAACACCCTGTAGATCATTCCCTAAAATACAAAAAAAAAAAAAAAAAAAATTGTAATGGGGAACCTCAATGCCCCATTGTCAAAATGGGCAAAAATTCAATAATGAAACATATGAATTAAACCAAACTTTTGAACAAATGGGTTTAGTAGATGTTACAGTGTTCTACTCTCACAACATCAGAATGCAATTTCTTTAAAGCTGTATACACAGCATCTTTTCCAAAATAGACCACATGCTAGCTCATCGATCATGCTTAAGCAACAAGGAACTAAAAGAAACATGGTGTTTTCTCATATGACTAGCTCAGATGTCAGTACTTCATGGTAATTGATTTCTCCACAGGCTTGTGGTGCCAGATTCAGCAGTAATAATAATTATACCTATAATGTGCATGTAGTTTCTACTCAGCAACAGCACCTCATTCTTGGATGTGTTTCACATCTAATAGAGAAGTATGAGTATATTTGCACAAAGCTACATAAAATTGAAATTCACCTGTGTGTACATAAAATGTGGAATATAATCACTAGTGCTACCAGGGTTAATAGTATTGCCAAAGTTTTCTATTGTGATGGATGGATATTGATTTATTTATTCATGTAATGATTTTAATTTCCAGACCAAGATGTGGCATACATGATGCAAAGTTCCTCAATGAATATACAAGGTTTATACTTATCTTTCTTTCACTAGCAAAAACATATAAATATTTACTAAAAAGCAAATGGTAAGACCTTAAGTTGTTCATATCACTTGTATTTAGAATGAATTAAGGATGTTTTTAAGTTGGTGGAAGCTCCAGAAATACCTGCATTTTATTTTTTCTCCTTCTGCAAAAATGTGTCAGCAAAACATTTCCAAGGTGCACAAACTATGCAGATGTTTGGCTGATGTGGCAACTGTACTAGACAAGCCCTACCCTTTTCAATGGTGTGAATATGACCTCCACATTTCTGCTCCCCCTTCACAGCTCAGGAGCACCAACCTGGTATGGTGACAGAGACTGGCTTAGATTTAGACTGTGGCCATGGAAACCATACCAAGACTGGGGAGGTGGAGAAATGAAGAAGGGCCAGAGAAAACTAAAAACAAAATGTCTATTCCTCTATAGTCAAGTTTCGTGCATATTCCAAATTCCAATTACTACTTAATGAATTCTAGAGAAAGTATCTCTTAAGTTCATTCACCTAAGGTTTTAAAAAAATGTTTTATTTATAATTTATATTATTATTTCATAATTTCAAGTATAATTTAGCTGTGATTCATTCAGATTTTTATATATTCTGTTGTTTGTTCCTTTTTGTGACAGTGTCTCATCATGTAGTTCAAGCTTGCCTTGAACTCACTATGGAGCCCAGGCTGGATTCAAACTCATGGATATCCTCCTGCATCAGCCTCCAAATCCTGGAATTACAGGCATGAACCATTGCACCTGGAGAGACAGAGTCTTATCTACAGTGACAAGATAACTTTCCTTAGACCTACAGCTTAGTTTCTAGTGTGTACTATAAGAAACTGAAAGAATGTTACACCTCTTATGAGAAAAATGAAAAGACTCCTTAGTTTTCAAGATTCAAATCACTTTTTTCTGTAAATATTAATGAACTTTAAGTTAGTAAACTATGTTTTGGAGGTCAGTTTAGCAGTTTCTCCCTATAACTTAGCATTCTGCCCATATGACACTACTGGAATCTTCTTCTCCCAAGGATATAGACTTTTTGACACTTGTGCCTCAACAACAGTGGAGAAAAGCCATGTTGGGATGGACAAACTATACAAAGTAACAACTACAGATGTCACCATCAAGTGTACAAAGAAGAATTGACCTTACTGAGGTTCTAAATCAGACACTGGAAATACCTGATATGTTAACAGGTGGGTATTTGGTTGATATTGGTGATGTTTTGTTTATGCATGCAGGGCTTTGTGTGTGTGTGTGTGTGTGTGTGTGTGTGTGTTACCAAGGGTAGAGTGAGAAGTTGATCTACATAATATGAAAAGCTGAGACATGTCTCTTACAAGAAAGCTAATATTTTGGATTTTGAAAAAATTTGTTTTTCAAAATAGTGAAGTTCTGAAGAACAGGGCTAATGCAATTTTTTTTTTCGGAACCAAGGATTGAGCTCAGGACCTTGCACTTGCCAGGGAAGTACTTATTCTACTGAGCCATCTCCCCAGCTCCACAATTATCTTCTGACGTTGAAAATACACAGGCATTTGAATTCTAAAGTAAAGCAGCATAGGAGGAGTGAGAGGACAGAACTTTTATTTAATTTTACTGACCAAGTGTCAAAGGCTTTATGTGTGTTATCCCATTTATTTCACATACTAATGTTACTATGTAGAAATTAGTCATTTTCACATAAAAACAATTTTCTCTTTTTATTTTTATTTTATTTTATTTTATTTTGAAGAGTGAAAATGAAAAAAAATAGAAAAATATGACAGAAACAGGATAACATATAACAATACATATATTACAGATTTTCAAAACAGGGATAGCTAATTAACAATGGTTGCTATATTATCTATTTTTTCATTTTAATGAGAAAAAAGATAAAATAACAATGAAACAGTTTCAAGAAAGATTAGTATGATAGTGACAATAATTAATATATTGCATATTGTTGCCTTCCTAGTAGTTATTCTGAGGACAAGACGGAGACATGATATCTTGTCTAAACAATATTAGTACAAACCTCTCCTCTCAATGAATGAAGAGAAAGTTGCTATATATCTTTCCTAAGTATCTTGTATATACATATATATTTTCACATACACACACAGAGACAAAAAAAGAGAAAAGCTAATTTATTTATATCCACATTTTTTGTTTTGTTTTGTCAGAGATGGATTGCTGTTAGAGAAGCTGTATTTGGAGAAGTCTTTAAAGCGCCTTTTCATAATTCATGCCAGTCCAAAGATTGTAGGTACTTGAATTCAGCAAAATAACCCAATATAGTCCAATAGTCCATAATAGTAGTGAGTTATCAGCACAATGGGCAATTGTCTGAAGTTGTTGACTTGAGCATTTTACAGCTCAACATATTAATGTACCTTTACTTTTATGCCTCATTTACTTTTATGCCACTTTTCTGCTGGATGCTTATGACCAAGTTAAAGCAAGGCCTGTATAACTAAAAATGGAACTTTTGTCTCTGACAAGGTCAGTCAAATCCCACCAAGGGTTCATGTATTACATTTTTCATGGTTCAATCTAAAAGAAATATAATTTTTACTAAAGGCATTTTTAAATGTATGATTATTAAGATAATGTGCTGGCTTAGTAAATAATGATACTTCCACAAGGTAAGTTAGGACAGAATTTGTAAACAGGGGCTGGGGAGATGGCTGAGTAGAATAAGTGCTTCCCTGGCAAACACAAGGGCCTGAGTTCAATCCCTGGTTCCAAAAAAAAAAAAAAAAAGAACTTGTAAACTTGATGGTGTTGAAAATGGCTCATAATAAGGTACATATATAATAAAAATTACATATACAGGTGTGTGTGTGTGTGTGTGTGTTGCATGTGTTTATGTCTGTGTACAGGGAGACAGAGAAGGAAGCTATTCAGACACATGCTAATATTTAGAAAAACATTGAGGATATTACACTAAGTAAAATAAGCCAATCATAGAAAGACAAAAACATATCCCAGATTCACATGATATCCAGAGTAGTCATGTTCATAGTAACAGAAGAGAGAATGGTAGCTTCCAGGGTGTCAGAAAAAAGAAAATGGGAATTGTTTAAAGGAGATTCAGTTTGAACCATGAAAAATGTTATGCATGAACCACAGAAGAAAATTTCTTTGAGATTATTATGTCACTTATTTTTATTCTTTCTACACATGTTTGTATGTAACAGATAAAAAATAAATGTCTCTTCATGAAGAAAAACAATCCAGTCAGGATTTACCCTGGAATCATACACAGCCCCTTGTGAGTCTTTTGTCAGTGTCAGACATATGGATGATTCATGGCCACTGTTCAACCATTTTGCTCAGGATGTCACAGTAGAGGTTCTCTTCTGTCCTGAATCCTCACTGACTTTGAAGGGCTAGGATCAAAATATTGGCTATCCCTGTAGCCCCTCTATTTCTCTAATTTTTGATCTGTAAACTTTAGTTTTTAAACATCCACAAGAATGTGAGCACAGTTTAAATTTGGTCTTAATATTAACAGTCAGACCAGCCTAGTGCCATACACTGTAATCACAAGTTTGAGGCCAGCCTGAACTACCAGAGTAAGGCATTGTCTTAAAAAACTATAGATAAAAAAGAAAAAAGATCAGACATTCAGCTAATAGATCCAGTGGTATCAGAAGTCAGGTCATGTTTTAGTAAATACCCTTTTCCTTTCACTGACAGCTCCTTTAGGAATAAACTTTTAGCTTATTCTACAATTACTGTTTTTAAAATTTGATAAAATATTTTCTTCCTGGTTATATATAGTACATATTCATCTACCCTTTTTCTCCAGTTAGAGTGTTCAAATAAACTTAGTTTGCTTTAAAAAAAACATCCACAAGAGAAGATTAATATTATTATTGCCCTGTAACAGAGGCACTTCAGTGTAACATCACTGTCTGTCTCTATATCAAATACCTTAGGCATAACATGAAACTGGTGTTTTCCAACAACCATGGATATTCTAAACTTTATATCCCTAAAGAACATCAAAAACAAAAACAAAAAAATTACATATTTTTACACAAAAATTTATACAACGTAGCAGGAGAGTCCTATGACTTTTTCTTCTTACCTCTTGTTTTCTTATGTTACCTTTTTTTAAACATTTACTTCAGAGAGAGTACAGGACTAATTTATATGACATTAGAAGCAGTATGCATTTAGAAGACCAAAATGATAGGTATTTCAAGCGTGGTTTCAGTATTACACATTGTTTTCCTCAGTGCAGTTGTTCACTTCTCAGATTTCTTCTTACTCTCACATCATTGTTTAATCCTTAAGTTCTCACTTTCCATTTAGCTGTATCATACCTGTCATTTATACCCAGGAGGGGGAAAGGCTGGCTTGAATGGGATCTCCAATCCTAGCTTTTCAAGGAATCTCCACACTGATTTCCATAGTGGTTGTGCCAGTCTGTATTCCCACCAACAGTGCACCAGTGTTCCTTTTTCTTTACAGACTCTCTACCATGTATAGGCCTTTTCTCTTTCTTCTTTTTTTTTTCTTTTTTGTATTTTTAGAACAGGTGTACATGGTCTACAAGGTCTCACTATGTAGATAAGATTCACAGTGATTCTCCTGTTTTCAGGCTCCCAAATGCTGGGATTACAGGTGCGAGCCACCATGTCCAGTATCGATCACATTCTCAGTGCGCCCCGGGGGGGGGGGGCAGCACATCACTCTGAGAATCGAACTCTGTCCACTGCACTCTGCCTAAGCTGGTGCTTTAGTCCACTTAGCTATCTGGCTGATCCTCGACTGACTTCTTGATGTTAGCTATTCTTTCTGGGTAAGAGGGAATCTCAGTGTTGGTGTAATTAGCATTTTTAGGATGACCAATGATGTTTAACATTTTTTCGTGCATTTATTGCCATTTGTAGTTCTTCCTCTTAGACTTGTATATTCATTTAAGACGTCATTTTTTGATTTGTCCTTTGAATTTTTTGTACTTTTTTCTTTAATTTTATTTTGAAATGTAAAAGCAAGAACAAAAAATAGGAAGACAGAAACAGAGCAACATACAACATTCATACTTACGTTACTAATTTTCAAGCAAACAATAACTGATTAACAATGGTTGATATATTATCTATTTTATCAAGTCTGTTGCTCAGATTGACAGATATAGTTATGTAAGATTGGACATATGGTTGCATATTACCAACTGTTTTCAAGAAACCTTAAATTTTTGTTCCTCTTTTTTTTAAATCAAATCTTTTTTAAAAAATTGTTTTAAAAAGAGTATACTATGGTTAGATTTCTAAATTTCTGTGGAAAACACGTAACTGCTTATTCCTATATTTAAAATATTTTTAAGGTTCTAAATTTTTTTCTTCATATTCTGTGAGGACTTAAAGTTTAATATATCAATACTTGATGTAAAATACCTGTTCCATGTTAGGCCTTAGATGTTTGATATTCAGAAAGACAGTAAGATTAAGCTCAACTGCCTATGTTGTAGGATAATAATAAGCTTCTCTTCTGCAGGGTTAACAACTTAAGTTTGCAGAAAAAAATTAGAGAAAAAGAAGGGCTGCAAGGACAGCCAACATTTTGGCCCTAGTGTTTGAAGGTCAGTGAAGACTCAAGAAATAGGTGAACATGTATTGTAACATCGTGTAACTGAGTTGCATCCCAAATTTTCTGATCAAGGAGATTATGGGGCCACAGAGGAAAGTAATCAATGATGTAGACTGTGCCCAAGGACAGTCATATGGAGAGAAAACATTCTCTCAGGCTTTCACAGAAAGTATATTAGTCAAGCAATGGCCATGACTCATCCACATGGCTGACACTGACAAAGGATCTACAATCTGAGGTACAGGATCTCAGAATACATCCTGAGGGGATTTGACTGACATTATCAGATACAAAAGTTACATTTCTTGTTATATACATCTTGCTTTATCTTGATCTTAATCATCCAGCAGAAAAGCATAAACACAAAGTATAAAAAGTAAAGCCATATTAATATACTGAGCTGTACAAGGCTCAAGTCAACAACTTCTGACATTGCCAGTCTTATGGAAAACCCACTGCTATTATGGACTACTGGACTATATTGGAATATTTTTCTGAATTTGTGCCCCTACAATATTTAAATGGCAATGGAATACCCTTCTCTGACATAACTAAATAGAAAAGGGGGACACAAATGAATGATCATTTGGTAACTGTGAATTCAAAATAGTTAGGATAGATACACAACTGCATGTTCTTAACTCAATGAATAGAGAGATTTAATAGTGTCTGTGGACAGGATATCATGTCTGCACCTTGTACAATGAAATAACCACTAAGTCAACAAGATGCAATGTATTAATTATTGAACCTGTGCTAGTAATAGGTTTTGAAACTGTCTCATTGCTATTTGTTTCTCTACCAAATTATTTTTTAAAAAGATCAATCCCCAGTACTGCATGCTGTGTCAAGCCCAGGCACTTAACCGGTGTGGTTGTGTGTGCCTGTAATCCCAGTGCTGGGGAGGTTGAGACAGGATCATCACTGTGAGTTCAAGCTGTGTAGTAAGACCCTGTACCAAATAAATAAACATTTTAAAAATAAAAAATAAAAATAGAGTATACTAGTATTTGCTATGACATTAGGAACTGCACACATTTAGAAGACCAAGATGACAGGTATTTAAGCACAGTTTTTTGTACTACACATTGCTGTCCTCAATGTATTTGCTTAGATCACAGAAAACAGCGTACAGAGTTAGTCAATGTGCAAATTCTACACATTAATGACATTTTTTTTTAAATGATGAGATTTTTGGTACAGTCACCTCAGCCATCCTGGACATATAATTGCATGTTTTCCCCGACCTTTTTTCTTATCTTCTCTCCTTACCTCTTCATTGTTTAATCCTTCCTTTCTGTTTTGATTTTACTGTATCAGTTACAACTTTCAGGTTTTATTTCTTTTATCTGATTCTTATATTAGGGAAACAATATGATATTTACACAGCTGGGTCTGGTTTATTTCACTTATGAGTATAGCCTCTAGGTCCATCCACTAACCTATGAAGAGTTTGTGTTTGTCTTGCTTTATAGCTGAGTAATACTCCACTATATAAAAATACCAAATCTGTTTCATCTACTCTCTGGGTGATTGATGGCCATATTGGTTGCTTCCATGATTTGGCTATTACAAATTGTGGTGCTCTAAACATGGGTGCACATATATCACTGTGGTATGATTTTTTTCAGTTCTTTTGGGAAAATACTCAGAAGGGGAATGTCTGGATTGAATGGGATATCTAGTAAAGGAAGACTTATATAACAAAAAATCTAACTTTTGGATCTGATAAGATTAGGAAAATCCCCTCAGGATTTATCCTGCAACCCTGTACTGCAGTTTGTAGATCCTTTGTCAGTGTCAGCCATGTTGATGAGTCATGGCCATTGCTTGACCAATTTGCTCTCTGTAAAAGCCTGAGAGAATGTTTTCTCTCCACGTGACTCTCCTTAGGCACATTCTACATCATTGATCACATTCTTCTGTGGCCCCATAATCTCCTTCATCAGAAAATTTGGGACACAACTGAGTTACAAGATGTTACAGTATAGGTTCTCCTATGTCCTGAGTCCTCACTGACCTTGAAAGGCTAGGGCCAAAAGGTTCACTGTCCTTGCTGCCCTTATTTATTTCTGTTTTTGTTCTGCATACTTATTTTTTAACCCTCCAGAAGAGAAGCTTATTATTACCCTACAACATATGCAATTGAGTTTAACATAACTATCTTTCTGAATATCAAACATCTTATGCATAACATGGAGCAGGTATTTTCTATCAAGTATTGATATGTTAAACTTTAAGTCCTTGCAGAATATGAAGACAAAAATTAAAAAAATGATAAAAGATTTGAAAAAAATATGAATAAACAATTACATAAGTTTACACAGAAAGTAAGAAATCTAACCATATACAGCACTGTAGCAGGACTGTCCTGAGATATTTTTTCCTTTCTCTTGTTTTCATTTATTGCCCTTCTTTTAAAACAAACATTTACTTGAGAGACAGTATGGCAGTAATTGGTATGTCCTGACAAGCAGTATGTATTTAGAAGACCAGAATGACAGGTATTCCAAGCATGACCCTACCATTACACATTGCTATCTGCAGTGCAGCTGCTTAGTTCACAGTTATCAGTATGTATAGTTAGTCAGGGTGAGAATCCTACCAATTAGCTGCTAGTTTCAAAAGCATGCTGCAGATTCTCAGGATCCTTGCCTTACCAATTGTAGGGATTGCCTTAAATCTGTACAATTTTGGGAGTAAGTACATTTTCAAAATGTTGGTTCTTCCTATCCAGGAGCAAGGAAATATGTTTCCATTTTCTGAAATCCTCTTGGATCTTTTCTCAGGGTACTGTAAATTTCACTGTATAGATCTTTTACTTCTTTTGTTACACTGATTACTAGGTATTTCATTTGTTGGGGGTGAAATTGTGAAAGGTGCTGTTTCTCTAATTTCTCTCCCAATGTGTTTGTTATCTGTGCAGATGTATGCAATTGATTTTTGAGCATTGACTTTGTAACTTGCTATGCTCCTGAATTTGTTTATTAATTCTAGGAGCTTCTTGTTGTATATTTTTGGTTTTCCAAGTAGAATAGTGGGCTGGAAAGATGGCTCAGTGGAATAAGCACTTCCCTGGCAAGCGCAAGGGTCTGAGTTCAATCCCCAGTTCCAAAAAAAAAAGCATGCAAGTAGAATATCATGTCATTTGCAAATAATGATAATTTAAATTATTCTTTATTCTTATTCCTTTTATTTCTCTGTCTTGTCTAATGGCTCTAAGTAGTGATTCCAGAACTATATAGAATAGGAGTGGGGATAGGGGACAACTTTGTCTTGTACCTGATTTGAAAGTGAAAGATTTCAGTTGTTCCCCATTTAAAATTATGTTGGCTGTTGCATTGTAAAGATGTCTTTTATCGTATTGAGTTAGAGAATATCTATCCCAATTTTTTGTAGGGCTTTGATCATGAAGGAGTGTTGGACTTTGCCAAAGGCTTTTTCTGCATCAATTGAGATATCATGTACGTTTTCCTTTTGGATCTATTGATATATTTCTTTATGCTTATAGATTTGTGTACATTGAACCATCCTTTTATCAATGGAATGAATTCTTCCTGGTCATGGTATATAATCTTTTTGATGATTTGCTGTACTATATTTCTAGGATTTTATTGAGGGCTTTTGCATCTGTGTTCACGAGGGAATTTGGCCTATCATTTTCTTTTTTTGGTTGAATCTTTCTCTGGTTTTTGCATTAGTATAAAAGTTGCCCCAAGGAATATTTTGGAGAGTATTGCTTCCACTTAAATATCATCGAAGATTTTGAGAACTATTGAGATTAAATTTTCTCTACATTTCTTCTAGAATACAGCTGTGAATCCATCAGGACCTGGGTTTTCTTTGTTGGTAAGTTTTTTATTACATTTCAATTTCACTGGCTGTTATTGTGTTATTCAGAGTTTTATACCTTCTTGATTCAGTTTGGTAATTTATAACTATTATGAATCTCTCAATTTCTTCAGTCTCTTCACTTCTGTGAGAGTAAAGATTCTCAAATTAGCTATTGAAGATTTTCTGAATTTCCACAGGATCTGCAGTAATTTTGCCTTTTTCATTCCTTATTGCTTAAATATTTTTTATTAATTTTATTGAGAGAAATATTAATGAGACAATTTCGAAGTAGTAGGACAGTTAGAATAATTTATACATTGCATATGGTTGTCTTCATAGTAGTTATTCATTGTACAGGATGCAGACGTGATATCCTATTCAAACATAATTAGTATAAATCTTTCTTCTTATTGAACTAAAAAAAACTAGCTGTATACCTATCCTATTTTGTATATACAGACATATATATTTTTTCACTACAAAATGGTCCTTCATTTATATACCACTTTTCTGTTTAGTTTTGTCAGATATGGGTGTTCCACTGCCATTCAAATATTGTAGGTGTGTGAATTCATCAAAATAATTTAATATAGTCCCATAGTCCATAATAGTAGTGCATTATCCATAGAATACGCAAGGTCAGAAGTTGTTGACTTGAAACCACGACTATTATGAGCTACTGGACTATATTGCATTACGTTGCTGAATTCACGCACCTACAATATTTAAATGGCATTAGAATACCCATCTCTGACAAAACCAAACAAAAAAGGGGATATACATGAAGGACCATTTTTTTAAGGACCATTTTGAAGTGAAATAAAAATAAAAACAAATATATATATACAAAACTAAATAGATATACATCTACTTTCTCTTAGTTAAGTCAGAAAAAAAGATTTGTAATAGTGTTTAGACAAGATATCATGCCTGCATCTTGTACTATGAATAACACTTAGGAAGACAAAAATATGCAAGATATTAATTATTGTAACTATCCTAACTTGTTTTGAAACTATCTCACTACTATTTCATTCTCAATAAAATTAATAAAAAAGAAAGAAGTTACTGACTTGAGCCTTTTACAGCTCAGCATATTAATAGATGTTTACTTTTTATACCTCATGCTTATACTTTTATGGTGGATAGATAAGACCAAATTGAAGCAAGGTCTTTATAACAAAAAATGTAACTTTTACATCTCACAAGGTCAATCCAATCCCCTTGGAATTTACCCTGGAACCCTGTACAACAGTTTGTAGATCTTTTGCCAATGTAAGCAATCTGGATAGCTCATCTATTTTTTAAACAAACATTTATTTGAGAGAGCATATAACAAAAATTGATATGATATTAGAAACAGTATGCATTTAGAAGACCAGAATGACAGACAGAAAGCATAGCCCTAATACTACATGTTGCTATCCTGAATGCAGTTGCTTTGTTCACAGGTATCAGCATATTTAGTTAGAATGAGAATCCTACCAATTTACTGCTAGTTTCAAAATCGTGGTGGAGATTCTCTGGATCTTAACCATCTTGTGTATATAAATGTATGGTTTTCCCTTTACCATGTTTCCTAACTTTTCTTCATGCCCTCTCTTCATTGTTTAATCCTTAAGTGCTCACTTTCCATTTAATTGTGTTATACCATTTAATTTTTATTTTTTGTTTTCATTTCTTACACTACAGAGACTTTACAATATTTACACATGTAGGTCTGTTTCTTTTCACTTATGAGTATATCTTCTCTTTGCATCCACTTATATATAAAGGCTTCAAGTTTATCATTCTTTATACCTCAGTAATACTCCATTGTATAAAAACACCACAACCTTTCCATACATTCCTCAAGTGATGGGCATATAAGTTGCTTACAAGATTTGCTTATCACAGATTGTGATGCTATAAATATAGGTGCACATATATCACTATGATATGATATTTTCAGTTCTTTTGGGAAAATTCCCAGTACAGGGAAAACTAGATTGAATGGGATTTCCAGTCTTAGATTTCTAAGGAGACTGCACACTGATTTCCATAATGGTTGCACCAGTCTACATTCCCACCAGCAATGAAGAAGGTTTCCTTTTTCCCAACAGCGTCTCCAATATTTGTTGTTGGTTGATTTCTGTATGATAGCCATTCTTTCTGGAGTGAGACGGTATCTCATTGTTGTTATAATTTCCATTTCACAGATGGCTAGTGATGTAGAGCATTGATTCATGTATTTATTAGCTTCTAGAATTTATTGCTCTGAAGAGTGTGTGCATCTCAGATGCCCATTTCTGTATTGGGTATTTAAATTTTGGGGTGTAATGTTTTTTAGTTCTTTATAAATTCTAGAGAGAAGACTTTCATCTGAGTCATTATTAGTTAAGATTTTTTCCACATTTGAGGTTATCTTTTCACTCTGTTGGTCATTTCCTTTGATGTGCAAAAACTTCTGAAAAAGAGGAGGTCCAAGTTGATAATTCTTTAAGTATTACCCGTACAATGTGATTTTTGTTCATGTAATGTTTGCCTACCCCGTGAGTTCCTCCTACTTTCTGTTCCAGGAGATTTAGTGTTTCTGTCATAATGTATAGATCTTTAATCCAATTTTATTTTAGTTTAGTGCACGGTGATAGACCTGGGCCCAGTTTTAGTTTTTGGCATGTAGAGAGCCAGTGTTTACAACACAATTTGTTAAAGAGGATATCTTTCCTCCAGTAAGCATATCTGGCACCTTTATTAAAGACACATTGTCTGAATGTGTTTGTAATAGTTTCTGCAACTGCTAATCTATTCTCTTATCCACAGGCTCATTTTGTGACAATACCATGCTGATTTTATTACAGTAGGTTGATTGTATATTTTCAAGTCAGGAATTGTAATGCCTTCTGCCTTGCCTTTATTGCCTGCATTACCTTGCTATTCTACGTATTTTCTGGGTCCAAATAAATTTTAGGAATGATTTCTCTAGGTTTGTGAAGTATGTTGGTGGTATTTTGATAGAGATTGCATTCAATCTGTATAACAATTTTGAGAGTACGGCCATCTTCACAAAGTTACTTCTTTCTATAGAGGAGCAGGGCTCTATGATCTTTTTTTTCAGAGTACTGTAATTTTCCTTGAAAATATTTTTGATTTCTTTAGTTAGATTAATTCCAAGGCATTTCATTTTCCGTGGTGCTATGGTAAAAGGTATTGTTTCTCTATTTTCCCTCTCAATTTGTTTCTTATCCGTGTAGAGGAATGCTTTTGGCATTTCGGTATTGACTTTGCAGCCTGCTATGCTGCTGAATTTCTGTATCAATTCTAGAAGCGTCTTGGTGTAGTTTTTGGGGTCTTCTAAGTAGAGTATCATGTCATTGCAAATTACAATAGTTTAACTTCTTCTTTACCTATTCTTATTCCTTTTATTTCTCTCTCTTGTCCAATGGCTGTAGCTAACGATTCCAGATCTATATTGACTAGGAGTGGAGATAGGGGACGTCCTTGTTTGTACACGAATGACAGTAAAGATTTAATTTTTTCCGGTTTAGAATTTTGTTTGCTCAGTACTAGATGGAAAATACCTGTTCCATGTTATGCCTAAGATGTTTGATATTCAGACAGATAGTGAAGTTAAACCCAACTGCATAAGATGTAGGGTAATAATAAGCTTCTCTCCTGGAGGGTGAACAACCTATGTTTACAGACCAAAAATTAGAGAAATACAAGGGCTGTAAGGACATCCAACATTTTGACCCTAGCCTTTCAAGGTCAGTGAGGACTCAGGACATAGGAGAACCTATACTGTAACATCATGTAACTCAGTGGTGTCCCAAATTTTCTGATCAAGGAGATTATGGGGCCACAGAGCAACATGATCAATGATGTAGAGTGTGCCTAAGGAGAGTCACATGGAGAGAAGACATTCTCTCAGGCTTTCACGGGGAGCAAATTGGTCAAGCAAGGCCATGTCTCATCCACATGGCTGAAACTGACAAAGGATCTGCACAATGTGATACACAGTTACAGGATAAATGCTGAAGGTATTTCACTGACCTTATCAGATCTAAGAGTTACATTTATTGTTGTACACGTCTTCCTTTATCTTGGTCTTAACCATTCAGCAGAAAAATATAAAAAGGAAGTACATAAAGTGAAGCCATATTAATATGCTGAGCTGTAAAAGGCTCAAGTCAACAACTTCTGTGGATAACCCACTACTATTGTGGACTGCTGGCCTGTGTTGGATTATTTTGCTGAATTCACACACCTATAGTATTTAGATACCAAAGGAATACCCATGTCTGACAAGACTACACAAAAAAAGGAGATACAAAGGAAGGAACATTTTGTATCTGTATACGAAGAATAGTTAGGATAGATATACAGCTACTTTAGCTTAATTCAATGAGAAGTAAGATTTGTACTAATAGGGTTTGTACAGGATATTCTGTCTGCATCTTGTACTATGGATAATCACTAAGAAGATAACAATGTACAATCTATTAATTATTGAAACTGTCCTATTAATCAGTTTTGAAACTGTCTCATTGATATTTGTTTCTCACATTTTATTCTAAAAATAAAAAAATAGAATTACGTTTCCAATTGGGTTGTCATAAATGGCTTTCATCAGATTGAGGTATATGCCATTTATTCCAATTTTCCATAGGCCTTTTAAGATGAATGAGTGTTGGTCTTTTTCAAAAACCTTTTCTGCATCAATTGAGATGATCACATGGTTTTTGGATTTGGCTCTATTTATATAGTGTATTACATTTATAAATCTGCTTACATTAAACCACATTTGCATCCCTGGAATCAATCCTACCTGGCCATGATATATGGTCTTCTTGGTGATTTGCTGTATTCTATTTGCTAGGAATTTTTGAGGATATTTTCATGAGAGAGATTGGCCTATAGTTCCCCTTTTTAGTTGCATCTTTCCCTGGTTTTCATATGAATATAACACTTGCCTCCAGGAAAGGTTTTGTTACGATTGTTTCCTTTTCAATTTCATTGAAGAGTTTGAGGAGTAT